TTTTTTTATTTTATTTTAAAAAATATTTTCTTTCTTGGTTTTTTTTTACCTGTGTAAGAATAGGTCCAACTTGATTTTTAAGTCTTAAAATTTTGTCAAGACCTTTTTCAATAGCTGATGGAAATGAAAGCAAACGTAATGTATGACCTGTTGGTGCTGTATCAAATACAACAACACTAAAATTCATATTTTTAACTAATCTAAATAAGATTCGAAGAATTTTGTTAAAAATAAAAAAATAAAAATAAAAAAAAAATTACTTCATAACTTCAGAAAAACTAACAGCTTCATCAATACCAGGAAATGATGAAAGCATTTCTTGAAACATTGAACGACCAACTGTCCATAATTCTTTATTTATTTAAATATAATTAAAATAAATTTCTTTTTTTTCTATTTATTATTCTTACCACTTTCTTCATTATCTTCAGGTAATTCATTTATTCCACCTGATGGATCGATTTCCTGATCAAATTTTATTTAACAAAATTTTTAAAAAAAAATTAATTAAAAAAGAAAAATTAGAAACCATTGCATAGAGATTTTCATATCCATTGACTTTTGTTGGTTTCTTTGTAAATTTTTGATTAAATGCATCCGATATATTATGAGCTGGATCAGTACTTAATATTAATACTGTTTCTCGTACTTTAGATAAAAGTGAAGCTAAACTACAACTATTTTAAAAAATAATAATAAAAATAATATTTAAAATGAAAAATAGATAAAAAAAAACCTGCATGTTGTTTTTCCAACACCACCTTTTCCTCCAACAAATATCCATTTAAGACTTTTTTGTCCAACTATATTTTGAAGACTTGCTTCAGCAAGATCATCTACTAGTCCTATCGACGACGACATTGATCAACTAACTGAAATTATTTTATTTTAAAATAATTCTATTGGATTTATATAATAACCTTTCAATATTCGACACAACAATCTATAGTATATTCTAATGACCTCTATCGAAATGAAACAATCCATCATAGAGATAAATATAATAATAAGAGTTAGTTGTTTATTTTGAAATAGTTCGAATAAAATCTATCGAGATAATAAAACGCAATATTATCTTGTTATTAACAATATATTAATTGTTGATCCCTTCTAAACAAATAATTTATTCTCGAACAAATATTTAAGATTTATTTTATGAACTTTTTAAAGATCATCTCATCTTAACATTTACATAGAAACAATCGAAAGAAAAATAATTTACCTCATATAGATATTAAAAAGAAATATATTTATTTAATTCGATTATAGTCTAAAAAAATAATCTTTTTTTACTTTTCGATAGAAGATTTCAAATGTTAGACTTTTATTTTCTTACCTTTAAGATAAATCGTTATTATATTATCAAAAATCTATGTTCAAAATCGAATGTATCTAATAAATTATATTTTTTATATTGATAATATTCATTTATTCTTCGATAATTATTATATAATAGAAGTTATATTCAATAGAATTCTTAATATATACATACTAACAACAAGAATTTAAATTGAATTTTTTATAATAGAATAACTCATAATAGATTTTCAGCATTATTTCAATATTTTTACTTTTACTTATATTTAATCAACTTGTTAAACTTCAACTGATAATTGAATAGATGATAAATATCCTTAAAATAAAAAATTTCATTTAACATATCGAAGATTACATCGATCGTCTAGAGTATATTTATTATAAGAATAAACGATAATTGAATAACTGTTACTGTCTCTTCTCTTTATTCAAATAAAGAATCGTTATCCTGAGGAAGAAGAAGACATTCATAGAGAGATCGATTTATTTTATTTAGTATAAGTTGAGATTTAAATGAACCAACTAATAAGATTTGATGATGTAGTTTCGAAATGTAATTATTTCTAATCTATATGTCCGAATTGAACTCGAATATAACAATATTGTTTATCAGTCATTTTATCATAATAAACTATTAACCGTAAATTGACGATTTGTTTTATAACTAATATTTAACTTATGTCCTAGAATATATGATTTCAAAAAAAAAAACTCAACTTTTAAATTTAATAGATAAAATCAATTCTGATAAAACTAAATGGAATTTGAAAATGAGAATATAACAGAGATTTAACATACTCGTTCATCAAGACTAAATTAAATATTTAATATTTCGAATTGTTTACTTCAAACTTTTACCAGATAATATCCTCAACTAGACTAGATTACATTAACGAATCTCAAAACCTTTCAAAAAATTCTCTCCAAGATACGAAATTTTAAAAAAATCCATTCTTATATATCCTATCTATGAAAATCTCTCTCTGTGTCTTTATAGTTCTATATCTCAGAGAAACTTTTTTCAAACATTTTTAAATTTTTTATTCGATCTAGTCTATTATTGACGGCAGAATAAACTGTTAGTTGATATAAGACGAATATGTTGATAAGAGTAATAGCTATCGATCGTCCGATTTTCATCAATCGAAACGATGGTCAATTAGGAGATATTTTCATATAATATAATGCAACCTAAAATCATAATCTAATCAATCATTTTGGGAAATATTTCTGAGATATGTATAATAATGCAATGTAGTTCCAATGAAATATTCATTCTGACATATTTATTAGATAGAAAAAGTTTTAAAATCTAATATCTATTGCTGATAATGATGATGAAGATTGATATTAATTATAAATAAATTGGATTATGGAATATGTCGACAATGAAGAAAGATGTCGCTTTTGTTAATTAAATAAATTAACTAATAAATAAAATTGATTTCTAAATAGTTAAATGAATATAAAAAATGATTTTTTTATTCTAAAAAAAAGTAAAGAAAATAATTGAAAAAAGTAAAATGATATATAAGAAAAAAACAAGAGAGGCTTTGTATAATTGAAAATGGTTATTGTTTATTGTTATTGTTTTATGTTGATATAAGGTGATTATCTATTGTTTGATTAATTTCTTTTTTTTAACAAAAATCTTTATCGTTATTGATAATAATATAATAAAAGCAAAAAAAAAATGTCTAATAATAATGAAAATGAAGTTCTAAATGATGAAGATGAAATAAAAGAAAATGAAGAATCATTATTTAATTTGGAAGATGATGATAATAAACAAGAATTAAATGAAGATAATCAATTAAAATGTTATTTATGTAAACAAATATATAATCAACCAAAATTTCTATCATGTACACATACATTTTGTCTTCAATGTTTGAATAAATTAATTGAAAATAATTCAAATAAAGATATTTTACAAATTCAATGTCCAATATGTCAACAAATAACTGAAGTTCGATTTTATTACATTTTTATATTTATTTAATAATAAAAAACGGAATTTTTTATTTAGATATCAAATTTAAATATGTTAGTTGATAATTATTTGTTAATACGTGAAATTGAAAATATTGGTTTAAAAAGAGGTTCAATTGAATGTCGTGCATGTACATCAAATGATAAAGGTGTTGCACATTGTTCAACATGTTCATCATATTTATGTTCAAAATGTTGTCAAGCTCATAAATATATGAAATGTTTTGAACAACATAATGTAAGACGTTTATCAGAAATAGATTGTGAATTAAATAATTTAAATGATTTATGTCAAATTCATAAAAAATCTTATCTTATTTATTATTGTCGAACATGTTCAATCAGATTATGTGAACAATGTTTTATATTACATCCAACAACACAACATGATATTGAAAAGAATCATTTTGAATTAATTCATTCAGATTTAAATAAGAAAATAAATGATATTGATCAAATACGTTTAAATGCATTATCTTATTTAGATCATCAATTAACTTCTCTTCAACATGATTATGATAAAGCGAAAATTGAAATTGATCAATCATATCAACAATATCAACAAGTTTTAAATGATGTTTATGTAAATTGGTTTTTTTTTTTTTTTTTTTTTTTTTTTTTTTTAAGAAACAAAATTTTGTTATTTTAGAAAGAATATTTATCATCATTAAAGAATTTACAACGTGATGAAGAAATGCGCTTAATTGATAAATTAGAAAGAATTCAAAAAGGTTCTCAATCATTTGATGATAGTCGAACAGTTATTGAAAATTGTTTAAAAAAATGTTCATTCAATGAATTAATTGAATTAAATAAAAAATTATTTTTTAATATATTTAATTCATTTCAACAATTATTTCAAATTGAATCAATTCATTTAAATACAACAAATGATCAACAACAAGATAATAATTTAGTTCAATTTATATCAACACCTATTCAAGATTTTATACAAATAATAAAAGATCATTTTGGACAATTAATTAAACCACAATCAAAACAAATTTCATCACCAACAACAAATCATTATCAGGTTACCCCTTTTTTTTTTTTATTTAACATAGAACAAAGAAATCTCATTTATTTTATAATTTTTTAGTTTTTTTTTCATATGAAAAATCAAAAAAAAAACACATTATTATATATATTTTTTTTTTAACTAAAAAATCAAGGTTGAGTTGTCCGTTAAGATGAGTAATAAAGTGTTCTTTTTCCGTCGATATATATTGAGTAGGAGTCTAGTGCAATATATATTGATTGTCTAAGGTCATAGGTAAACAAGTGCAAATAAAATAAAATAAAAAATATAATTTAGAGAGAATCATTATTATCATCAACAAACGGTGACTCAGTATCATCATCATCAGGTGTTGGAAGTTTAGCTCTTGGTCAACAATCATCTCGTCAGCGTATATTATCAAATGGTTTATCACCATCAAATACCAATCGTCAAGATTTTTTTCGAAATAATTCAACAAATGAAACCGAACCAGTTGTAGAAAATCTTCGAGCACTTCAATCAATATTTGTTGATTCATTATCAACAATTCATCCAAATGTACAAAGAAATTTAGAAGAAATTCTTCAAATGAATCAACAACAACAACAACATGAAAATTGTTCGTTATTTAAAATAATTTAATTATAAATAAAATATATTTCTTGTGTTTTTCTTTTTTTAAGTATATCCTATGTTAACAGGTCAAACATCAGTAACAGGAATAGGAGAAAGATCACCATCAAACAGTAAATTATTTTTTGTAAAAAAAAAAAGAAATTTGAATATTTAAAGGTATAGTTCAATATCCTCCTCCATCATTAATATCAACATATTCAACAACAAATAGTGGTGGATCAAGTAATGGAAATAATAGTCGTTCAACAACACCATTTTCAGGTCTAACACAAAATTCTACAATTGATATTAATTTAAATTGTTTATCTCAAACATCATTAATGCGTCGTTGTGGACAATCAATGCAAGTTCGAGCTAAATTTGGTTCATTAGGACCACAAAAATGTCAATTTAATGCTCCACATGGTTTTTGTCTTGGTATTGATGAAGAAATAATTGTTGCTGATACAAATAATCATAGAATACAAATCTTTGATAAAAATGGAGAATATAAATATCAATTTGGTATGCCTGGAAAAGAAGAAGGACAATTATGGTATCCAAGAAAAGTTGCTGTTATTAGACAAACAGGAAAATTTGTTATTTGTGATAGAGGAAATGAAAGAAGTCGAATGCAAATATTTACTAGAAATGGACATTTTATTAGAAAAATTTCTATTAGATATATTGATATTGTTGCTGGTTTAGCTATAACACAACAAGGTTTACTTTTGTTTTTTTGTTTTTTTATTTAATAAAATTTATTTATTTTATTTAAGGAAATATTGTTGCTGTTGATTCAGTATCACCAACTGTTTTTTGTATAAGTGAATCTGGTGATCTTCTTAAATGGTTTGATTGTTCAGATTATATGAGAGAACCATCGGATATAGCCATTTTCAATAATGAATATTTTGTTTGCGATTTTAAGGTATACTAGTTTTTATCATTTTTTTTTATTTAAGAGTATATTACCACCATTAGAATTTTTTTTTTTCAAATATATATACAACTTTACTTTTTATTATAGGAATTATCCACCAAGCTTTCCTCATATCATTATATATATATCTTTTTAGAAAATGAACAGATTTTCAAATATTTCTAATATCAATATTTGACTCTACTAGAATATTTCCCAAGAAATTTTCCTCTTTTTTAAACTTTTTCACTTTTGGAAAAAGTGCGTTGCCATTTCCATTATTATTGAAGGGAACATATTTATATAAATGATAATGTCAGATGGCGTTAGCTACCTTCATCTATTACGTTGTTTAATAATGATCCACTAGAATATATTTTTATTATTATATCAGTTATTCGGGATTTCCATGAAAAATAATTTTCTCAAATTTGTTTAGGGTTTCCCTGAAAAAATGGTCTCTAAAGAGAAATTTTGTTTTACAGGGCTTTATCAGAGGAAACTTTTCATCGAACGGATTTTAAATAGTTGATTCCTCGAATGAAAAAAGTCGAATTCCCTATCGTGAAGTTAGATTTAAAAAAAACTTCTTTATGAGACGATATCCAGAAAAATGATAAGAATAAATTCATGGAAGAAAGTTTGAAAATTGCCTCGGATGAATATTTGTGCATAGAATCGATCTTTTATTTGAAACGAGTCCGAGCTCTGTGTCCTTTCTAACGAGAAAGTTATTTCAATTCTCGTGGAAAGTAGGAAAACAAGCCGGAAGTTGGGTTTAGTCAGACTGAAATATTTTTCTGAATCGTTTCTGAAAATTTGAGGACGCACGGTCAATTCTAATCAGTAAATGATTTGTATGATAATAAGATAAGATTTCTAGTTGATAAATAAGTATCATCCATGGTATAATATAGATTATGAAATATGATTAAAAAAGAAAAAAAAAATTATTTTATATAATTTATGATAACTTATTTTGAAATTGAAGATAATGAAAATATACTCTTCCTAGATTTAAGTTTATTGATTGAGAATATTGAAGTTAAATTATTTAATTGTTGATTATTATCTATAGAAGAGTGAATAAAACTTTTTTAGTTCGACTTTTTATAATATTTATTCTGTAAAAATTGGTAAAGATAATATTCTCGAAGATAATTATAAAATCTAAATAATATTTTCATGAAGTGAAATAAGTGTAGAATGAACTAAATTAAATATAAATCTATTTATTTGATAATAGATAATAATTATTTTTAAAAAAAATTCTTTTATCATAGATAAATCGAATAAATCGAAATTGTTCTCGTATTGATTTATTAAAAATGAGTAAATAAGTTAAAAATGAAATTTTGTTAAGGGTCATTGTGTTGTTGTATTTGATGAAGATGGAACATTTTTACGACGTATTGGTTCGGAAAGTGTAACTAATTTTCCAAATGGAATTGACATAAGTGATGCCGGTAAGTAAAAAAAAAATTTTGTTTTCAAATAAAAATAAAAAAAGTTGTATAAAAGGTGATGTAATCATTGGTGATTCACATGGAAATCGTTTTCATATAGCTGTATTTACACGTACAGGTGATTTTTTACAAGAATTTGATTGTCCATATGTAAAAGTGTCACGTTGTTGTGGATTAAAAATAACATCGGATGGTTATATAGTAACATTGGCTAAAAATAATCATCATGTACTTGTATTAAATACACTTTATTTAACATAAAAAAAAAAAAAAAAGTTGTCTTGTGTTTGTTATATTGTTGTGTGTGTGTGTTAAGTGAACAGTCGTGTGAGAAATGAACTAAAAGAGGCTGGTCGCTGTGATATAAATATAAAATCTAACTAAATCTATCTATGCGTTTGTTTTTGATGTCCTTTTTTTTTTGTTTATTTCTTGTTTGAGAATCAGGTAGTCAAAGATCATTATTGATTTAAAGAAAAAAAAAATAGTGCGACCACTCTTTGTTTTTTTTTTTTGTTTTTTATTTTGTAGGTATGTTCTTTTTGTTTGTGTGTTAATCCCGGTTAAGGAATCTCGCTCAATCCTTACCCATTTATTCTATATTTTCTATTTTTTTTTTTTTGTTTTGTTTTTCTTTTTTTTCTAAACGCATTTTTTTTTGTTTCGCATCATGATTGCCAGATATTAAATTGATTTCTCTTATATATTGAAGACCATATGTGCTAGCCTCTTCCAACACCTTTTTTTTTTGTTTTTTTGGTTTATTCGTTTCGAGTTTTGTGATATGAGAGTGGTCAGCTCGTCGTTTTTTTTTTCGATATTCTCTTTATCTTATTTCCCTGCTCTGTTTTTCTTTTGTGCTCGTTTTCTTTTTCTTATGCTCTTGCTCTTGCTTGCGCGATTCATTTAAATACATATTAACACTTCACTCAAGGTGACAATGGAATAAAATATCATTTTTTTTTAATTTAACAAATATTCAATTTGAATTTTTTTAAAACAATTTTAATTACATTACATATTAATAGATCACAATTTAATTCTTTTTATTTTATTCAAAAAAAAAAAATCTCGCTATATTCAGATCACTGATTTATAATAATAAATCTAAATATAAATATAACTAAATAAATAATCGTAGATCTATTTATGTAACCAGAACTGGTTCAATTTATTCGATATTCTTCCACCTAATAAATCAATATTGAATAGAGATTAGAATTGTTTATCTTCATCAAATTCTTATTGAAAATAGTCAAATGAAATTAATTCGGAATGATAATTGGAAAAAAAAAAGTTAAATTTGCTAATCAATATTGATAAAATTGTTAGTCGAAAGTATGTCGATGTCAATTGATAGAAGAAATGATATAATCTGATGAATAATAAATGAAATTGATAATGTAATCATTATTTCTCTAAGATAGATAGATAAAAAAAAACACGAATATCATCTTTAATTATTTCAAAAGAATTAAATAAAAACAAGTCAGTTTTTTTTCTAAATAAAATCATTGTCGAAAAATTTCTCTTGTCAAAATTTCTGATGGAAGATTGTTGATGAGTAGAACTATTCTCTTTTTTATTCTAAGAATTGAATAAAACGACAAAAGGAATTTTTTTTTTCTGATCTTTTTATTTTATTAAATGAGAACGAATATTATTTATTTTGAATAATAAATAGGAAGAGTATAGAATAAAATAAGTTGAAGATATTAACTGAGAAAGAAAGGATAGATTAACCTTTAGAATAATTCAATTCTCTTCACTGTCTATGAGAAAACATTGAGAAATAAAAAAACTAAAAATAAAAATATTGTTAGTCGATAGATTCTTCCTTATTATCAATAGTTAATATAAATAATGATTATTTTCCCTAATATTTCAATATATTGATCAATAGAATAAAAACAAACTGTTAAACAATATTTGTTTGATAATGATTTATATTATTTTATTTTTTATTAAACAATCAAGAAAATTTCAAATTGACAATTGAAATCTGTTGATAGATAATCGATATATTAATTGAAAAAAAAACCAATGATAAAGGTCTAAAATAGATGATTAATAATTCATTCTATTAGACATTATTCATCTTATCATTATTATAAACAAGAAAACATTTTTATCAATAATTCTAACCAAAATTGGATCATTTATTGTTTTTAGATATTCTTTCTTTATTTCAAAACAAGAAAACTATGATAAAATCTTTAGAATTGATCATCTATGTTTTCCTACTAATTTTTACTTTTTTTGTCTTTTTGTACGCTGAATACAAACTGAGGGAACCGTCGAAAGTGATCCATCGTTTTTGGTCTCATATGTTCTCCATAAGTAGGGGACCTATAGACTAGAAAAAGCCTAAGAGGATATCGGTCCATCTTCCGATATGGCTCAGATATTAAAGTTTTACTCAAATTATTCTAGATAAGTGACGTTTTACAGCAAAACCGTATTTTAGAATTTTGATCTGAAACTTTGTAGAGAGAATTTTACTCGAAATCTAATCGTTTTATTGAAACGATATTTATAGAAAGTGAAAAGATTATTAGCGTTAACCTTGGTCCAGTTTTTCAATTCGAAATCAGTTATTAGTTTTCGTTGTGGATTCTAATAAAAATGAGTTTCAGTGAAGAAAATATCGGATAGAGAATTTATCTTAGATCTTTGTTTTCGAAGGTCTATTAAATATAAATAAAAAAGAATTAACTAAGTCAAAGTCGATTAGTCTTTTACTTATTTTACGCATTATTTTCATTTTTATTCTAAAACCAGTTTGAACAAACGTTGTCTTTTTTCGTTTTAAATAAACGAAAATGAAATCTTAATGACAGATGAACAACTAGAAGATTTATTTAAAGAATAATAAATTATCTTTTATAAATTCTAATAAAATGATATATGAACAAATAATAAGTTAACATTGGTATATCGAACTTAAAAAGATTCTCAAAACTAAAACGATCTACTCATAGTAAAAGACATTCGATTGATTTATCTAAACAAAATCTTCAAGGTTTACTCCAAACTTATATTGATTCAATTCATTTTCAAGATTTTGTTTTTGGTAACAAGAATAACAATTCAATTTATTTCCTTTATCATTGACATAATAACACATTTCATTCAATTTTCTCAATCTATGAATATATTTTATATCAAATATAACAATTTAACCTTATTCAATTCTCACTGGAATATATCGATTTATCGTCACAATATTCAATTTTATCATGAAAACAAAAGAAAATAAATGGGATAACATCTTTTGATCATCAAAAAAAAAACAAAACAAAACAATTGACCACCTAATTAGTTATGTGTGAAAAGAGCTTCGATAAATAAGATAAATGAGCACAAAAAAGGTTTTATATTAATAAGAAAAAAAATGATAAATTGGATATATAATAGATATGAGTACTAAATCAATATAGAAAAAAAAAAAAAAAAAAAAATGAAAAGTCGATTTTATAATAATAAAGTAGATCGTTCTTTTTTTGCTCGATCTTTCGCTCGTCGTTTACCTAAAAGTTGTGAATGAGTTTTATCAATTAATTGATAATATTTTAGTAATATTACTACCGAGGGAAGGTTTCCAACTATGACGTACCGTTTTCAATTGGGTCTATACTAATTTGTAGAGCTCGATCAGACTAGACCAAGGCTAACAAGGATTCGTCCCGATACGCTCTCCTTCTCAAGTTCTAATCATTTTACTAGATTTTCGACCACTGACAAGGCATAGATGAGAAAATTGAATTAGAAGATTCTCATCTTAAATATTGACTAGAGATAGGCCTCATACTCCTTAGAATTTTTTAAAAAATTCATCCTAAAAGAATGTTCTTTTCTTGAAATATTCCTATTCAGGAAGCGATTATGTATCGCAAGAAAATATTAGAAAGACGAGTATTTTCAACACTCAATATCTCAGGAAGAGAATATTCTTTTGACCTGAGTTTTTTAGGACGTAATAAGGACCATAAGGCCTATCTATGGGCAAAATCTCAGATAAAAATCCTCTAATTCAATTTTCCCATACATGCTTTGCTACTGGTCGAAAATCCAGTAAAAGGATCATAACTCGAGAAGAACAGCGTATGGTGGACGAACTCTTTTAGCCTTGATCTAGTCTGATCGAGCTCTACAAATTAGTATAGACCCAATTGAAAAGGGCGCGTCACACTTGGGAACCTTCCCTCGTAAGTCAAGTGAATGTTTCCATAAATATAAATTCCTGCCAGTTGGGCGCATGTAGACGATTTGAGTGGATAAACCAGGAAGCAGAATGTAGGTCTAAATCTAAGGAGAAGATCTAATCGTGCATCCACACCCTTCTCATTAGGTTTATCGAATGTTTCGATGATATTGAAAACATTAATATTCTTTATTTGCCATTTAATGGTTATTGATAGAAATCTCTATTATTAGAATTGTCAAACTTATCCTATATATATAGAGGATTACTCGTTTTTCTAGGATAATTTAGAAAAATGAATCAGATTATAGAAATTGAGTTGAGTTTGTCACAATTTATCATCTCTAAGATATACGAATAAGAGTTTGGTTATTTTAAAATAGAGTTGATTTATCTCTTAAATAACATTTTTTATTAATTTCATGGTTAATTCTATTATTTTCTGGTGCTCTTTGAACATAGAACTAATTTGATGGTGAAAAAAGATTTTTTCGAAAAAATCTAAGAACTATTGTTGACAGTTAACTATACGATAAAAGAATTGAATTTTTCATATCGTCAATTTAATTTTGGACAAAGTTTCATTTATAATTATATAGAAATCTTATTTATTAATATGAAAAAATAAAATCAATATCCATGAAATAGGTATATAAACAATCTATGAAAAATCGAACTTTTATTTAGATTTAACTAGAGAAAGAATATTTAAGTAACGACTCATCCATAATAATTATATTGAGATAATTTATTCTTGAATTATGTTGACAATTGACTACATTGACATATAGATTGATTCAACCATTCAAATAATATTTAAGGAAAATAAATAAATTCTTGTTTGTTTTAATAAATGATAAATCAATAAAAAGGATAGAATTTTTTATAGAGAATATCGAACATCTCACTTGAATAAATCAATGAAATCACTTTTCAAGATAAATAGATTCTTGGATTTTCGAATACTTTTCCACTGATGTTAACTAGACTTGTCAAGAGTGATCGATCAGATATTGCTGCATTCAACAATAGATAAAACTAAACAATTTATATTCGGTTAAATTAATAAATTAGGATGTTAATCATAAGTTAAATATGTTAACAAAATAAATTCTGATAAATAAATCGAAAATATTATTTATTCATAATGATATTATTTATATATCGTAGAATAATTTTGTTTAAATTTGTTACTCTTTATATATATATAATATGATCTATTGGTGATAACAGTTTTAAAATGAGGTTAGAATAAAACTTTTTCCAATAATATTTATCGTTATTGAGTATAGAATAATTGAATCTATGGTAAATGTTTATTTTAAAAAAAATAATTTTATCTAATTATGTGTTTTTTTTTCTCGTATTTATATATAAAAAAGTATGTTTATTTTAAAAAATTAATTAATAGAATAAATTTAAAAAAAAATAATTTTATAAATCAGAAAAATAAATAATTTCGATATATTATTTTGATTAAAAATGCATTGAATATAATAATTGTTTGAAAAATTTTAAATTGAATTGAATTAGATTTGAATAGTTGATAGAAAAGATGCATTCTATAACTGTTCTGTTTTCTAAATATAGACGGTCGATTATGTTTCTAACTACTCAATAGGAAAAAAACCCCAAGAAAAGAAAAGGAAAGAAAAGAAAAGAAAAATGTTCGTCGAGAAGCATTAGCTATGATAAAGGCGCGCTATTTCAGTAGTCTCATTCTCGTTGATTCTCGTTGAAAGGGTATGTATTTTCTCTGCTTGTTCTCTCTTTATGGTTGGATGTTTTTTTTTTCTCGTATCCAGTCCTGTTCGTCTTGTCTTTGCATTTTTTTTGTTATGCGTCTGTAAGTCTACGTTATTTTTTTCTTTCTCTATTAGAGTTCGACACCATGAGATCATTTTCTTTCATAGGGTTATTTCAAGCAAGTTGGATTCCACAAAGGTTATTTTTTCCCAAGAACTTCACAGATCGATTACGCAAAAAAACCAATAAGGAAAATAATATTGAGATTAGAATTGAAATATTTTATTTAATTATTTATTCAAATTCGTTAGTTATTAATAAAATAATCGATTATATTCTAATAAATATTAATAAATAATATATTATAGTTATATTTATTTATTATTTGAAAACTGTTTTTTTTTCTTTTATTAGGATATTTATTTTTATAGAATAACTAACAACGGATTTTACTATAAACAATAGATTATATTCTATTCGTTTGCTTTTTTCTAATAGAAATAGAATAATAAAAGAGTAGTTTTCAATATTTAACTCGAGTTATTTTTATCTTTTATTTGATTATTAGAAACAAAAAAATCTAAAATCGAACAAAATCTATGATTAATAGTAAAATCCCTCTTTTATGTTAATATCAAAGGAAAGTGCAGTGAGAAATGAGAGAAGTTAATAAAATAATAAATAATTAAAAAAAAAGTATAAAATAAAAATCTAATCGATAATTAAGTAAAGATAAAGATAAATTCTTGTTATGTTCTTTGTTAAAATAAATAATATAAATAAAAATAATTTATTTCTAGATAAAAAAAAGTATTAGGTTTTATTTGAAATCTTTTAATAATGGGTCTATCTGAAGTCGTTCCAGCAGGTAAGATAAATAAAATAAAGTTAAATTAATAAAATAAAATAAATATTTATTTAAGGTGTATTAACTGGTGATTCTGTAATGAAATTGTTTTCATATGCAAAAGAACATCATTTTGCTATTCCAGCATTTAATGTAACATCTTCATCAGCTATAAATGCAGTTCTTGAAGCTGCTCGTGATGCTAAATCACCTGTTATTATACAAATATCTCAAGGTGGAGCTCAATTTTATGCTGGCAAAGGTCTTAATAATGATGGTCAAGCTGCAAGTATATTAGGAGCTGTTGCTGCAGCACATCATGTACGAAATGTTGCTAAAACATATCAAGTACCTGTTGTTCTTCATAGTGATCATTGTGCCAAAAAATTAGAACCATGGTAATGATTAGTTTTATTTTCTTTTCTTTTTTATTCAATTATAAAATTTATCGAATTTATATCCTAGTTTACAATATTTACTCATATATAAATAAAACATATTATTTATATAAACCACAGACTATTCTTATATATTAATAACAGGAGAATCATTTTTCACTTTCTCTACAAGAAGATTTTCGGAGTTTTTTCACTCATTCATAGAAAATTCTTCTCTATTCATATAGATATGATAGGGTCTATGTGTCTCTATTAGAGTACACAAAATGACATTGAAATATATGATAACATATCTTCAATTTTCATCTAGGAGTTCTTATCTATATATCCTGTTGGTACATAAGTTCTGCACGTTTCAATCAGTAGAATTATATTGCCAATATAAAACTACATTTTAAGGGAAGTAATTATATATTCAGATAGCGCTCAGGATTCTTCATCACCCTGTATATTTAGGTCTTGACTTAAATTTATTTGCTGAAAAATATTTCGACTACAATGAAGACACCCTCACCTGTATTGACAATGTTCGAAATATTTCTCGGTAAATAAGTTGAAGCTAAGACCTGAATATACAGGGTGATAGAGTATTTAAAGGACTCTCAGAATCTATAATTACTTTTCTAAAAAACAGATTAGTGTAGAGATAAAAATTTTAAAAACACACGAGAAAGGAACAAAAAATGAAATTCGTGCGGATCTGAGGGTGAGGGTGTTTTCACTGTATTCGAAATATTTTTCAGCCAATAAATTTAAGTAAAGAGTTAAATACACAGAGTGATAGAGAATTCCGAGGACTATCAGAATAAATAATTTATTTCCTTTAAATCTAGTTTTATATTGGCAATATAATTCTACTGATCCAAACGTGCACAACTTATGTATCAACGGGATAGTTTAGACACGAAATAAAAGTCGAACCGAATAATTTGATAATATGTTCATCTATAGAATTGTATCTATCTGATTAAATAATAGATTAACATATTTATTATAATTAGCTTTGATGAAATGTGAAAGTGCTTGAAATGGTTTATGACTGGAATTATATTGATGAGATTTGACCAAATAAATTCTTGTTTAATCAGTTTATGAAGATAATATTTTGTTTATAGAATATATTAAACTCCTATTTCCATAGTTATTAGAAGATGATAGATTGATTTTATGTAAATAATTCTCAATTTCAATAGATAAGAACTTCTTTTTTGGATACTAACAATAAAGAAGAAGATTGAGAGGGCGCAGAAACGGTGAGTGTAAAGAGATAATAAATGAAAATTTCGATAATAGGATTTATTTTCGAGTAGTATTCTTTAGTATAGATATTTAACTTAAATTTATTGAATAAATATTGATTTAGGTTTGTTGGAATGGTCGAAGCTGATGAAGCTTATTTCAAAGAACATGGTCAACCATTATTTAGTTCTCATATGCTTGATTTCTCCGAAGAAAGTAAAGACCATAACATAGCTGCATGTCAAAAATATTTAACACGTATGGCTCCAATGAAAATTTGGTTAGAAATGGAAATTGGTATAACAGGTGGTGAAGAAGATGGAGTTGATAATACAGGTGTTGATAATGCAGCACTTTATACTCAACCAGAAGATATATGGGATATTTATCGACAACTTTCATCTATTGCTCCTCATTTTTCTATTGCTGCTGCTTTTGGTAATGTTCATGGAGTTTATAAACCGGGAAATGTTCGACTTCATCCCGAATTACTTGCTAAACATCAAGCTTATGTTAAAGATAAATTAAATACAAATGATGAACATCCTGTCTTTCTTGTTTTTCATGGTGGTTCAGGTTCAACTAAAGATGAAATAAAAACAGCTGTTAAAAATGGTGTTGTTAAAATGAATATTGATACAGATACACAATATGCTTATTGGGAAGGTATACTTAAATTTTATAAGAAAAATGAATCAAGACTTCAAGGTCTACTTGATTCCGAAGATAAACCAAATAAAAAATTTTATGATCCTCGTGTATGGTTACGTGAAGCCGAATTATCAATGAAGAAACGAGTTCAAGAAGCATTTAATGATCTTGGTAGTGCCAATACATTATAAATTAAATTAA